AACAACCTTTGACAATGAAATGGATCACAGCATAGAAAATGAAATGGAGAACAACCTTTGACAATGAAATGACTAACAACCTAGGTGTGGGTGATGTAGATGTGTCTATTTGGCTCACATTTAGTGGAAAACACACCCACACCTTCAAGACTGATTATGATAGTTCTCCTGTTGGAATCATGAAAGACATATCATTATATGTATATTTATGTTATGTGAGACATTATCCCACACTTATTCCTTTACCTCCACAACACGTATTAGTAATTAAATATGTTCCGAATGATTATTCCATCTTGATAATGTGGGTGTAGATGAGTTTGGAGAAAGACTTCCACATCCATACCCATGTAGATGCAGATGACAACACATTGATTTATATATATGCACACACATAGAAAACACTTTTTGTGTTGATTCATTCTTTCTCTTTTCTTCAGAACAAACACATAGAGGAAAGAAAAGAAAAAGAAAAATATGTTTTTATATTCTCTCTTTCGAAATTATACTCGTTCTCCTTCTGATATATCCATTTGTGTACTCTCCATCGTCTTTCTACATTAAGAATCGATGTACAAGGGTATTGATACAATCGAGTAAGATTGAGTGTGCATAACTTGTCTATATATGAAATTTGTGATAAGATATTTAATTTAAAGTGAAGTTTTAATCGTTGACAATAGAAATAAAGTTGTATATTAAATTTAGGATGTCAGGATCATAATTAACTGTATAGTGTAGCTGAGCTGACGTTAAAAGTTAACTATTTAGTTTACTCCATGTATTTTGAGAAGTTAAGAATCGCACAGATGTAAATTTTCATGTGTAATCACAATGAATGTTGATTGTATGTTGTAGAGGTACTTATGACTAACTCGTCAATTGACATCGCTTGGATATATTTTGCACCATAATATACAATTTGTAAAAGAGTATTCATCTTATCTTCGGTTTATTTTTCGTAGTCTTTACATATATCCCTAACTTGAAGATTCTTTCGTTTACATTAGTCGATCAACGCATTATTTTCTATATAGAATTAAATATTTTACTTTTCCCCTCGTCTCTCTGAAATTCTTCTACTATTTAAGAGATTGATTGTAAGTTTTTCTAAGTATATCTTTTGCGTGGAATGTCAATTGTAATCAATAAAAAAACGTTTTTATATTACAGAATTGAAAGAAATTCAAATATTGGTCAGTAATAGTTTCTGTTCTTAAGAATCATTTATCATCGAGTATCTGTAGAAATAATGAGCAGTAGTAAACTGAACTACCATCATTCATTACTTAATGCTTGATGGAGATTAATTTTTGCCAAGAAGAAACTTTGTTAAACAAATGATGCTATGCAATTTTTTACTTTTATATTGTGATATGAAAACCATTTTTATATTATCATAGAAGTGTCTATATATAAGTCATTACTAGAACAGTAAAATTCTTTGACATGTCCCAAAAAATGTGTTTAAACGGCTAAATGTTTTAAAGTAGTATCAACGTGCTTTTGGGATATATCACACTATTCTAACATTTTAGATTCATGGTATTTATTCTGTTTACTTGTCTTTCTGAACGGACTGCTCTTGCTGAAGGAAAATAAGAAGCCCAATTTGGTTTATCAAAATTTTTATTCTTGTTTACGAAGAATACACAATATTATTGGTTTACTGCTAAATATACGATGGCTGTGATTACTGATTCTCCTGTGACCGCTAATATTCTCGGTACTCTAGGTGCTATCTTCTGGTCTATTCAGCTTTTACCGCAGATTTGGAAGAATTATCGAAGACATTCAACAGAAGGATTTCAACCTTCATTTATGCTTCTCTGGGCTTTAGCCGGTATTCCTTTAGGTATTTTTAATATTGTGGATAACTTGAACATTCCACTGTGGATTCAGCCACAGATTCTCTCAGTGCTCAGTCTCGTTACCTGGGGACAATGCTACTATTACGGTCATAAATGGAGTTTAAAGCTTTGTATTTTAGCAGTAGTTGGTTTGGCTGTTCTTCTCGGTGGAGTCGAGACTGCTGGTATTTTATCATTTCGTTTGATTGTCACGAAAGAGAATGGTGTCAATTGGCCACTCTACCTTATGGCAAGTCTCGCTACTCTTCTCCTGTCACTTGGCGTCCTTCGAGAGTACCTACAAATCTATCAACATCGCTCCACTGCAGGTATCAGTATTCTATTTATTATTTTAGATGCTCTTGGTGATCTGACAAGCTTGTTGAGTATTCTCTTCGAGACAAAACCATTTATCTTTGGAATAATAGCATACGCAACGGAATTAACACTTTGGATTGGAATTATAATTTATTATTCAATCGAGCATCTTTACGGCAACATCATTAACAACAGAAATCATGTCATTAATCCCAAGACTGATTTACAGCTACCAGCACCCGACAGAACTAACAATTTGGTAGTGTGCTTTTAATGGTTAATGAAGACTCTTATGTTATTTGTATACGTATATAGACTGTAAATAAAATATATGATGATACATATCAAAGAATAATCAAAAAATTTTAATTGGTGGGTGTGGGTTTGGGTGATGTAAATGTATCTATTTGGCTCACATTTAGTGGAACACACATCCACATCTTCAAGAACTAATTTAAGTAGAAAGACTAAATTATAGAGAAATGAATGTCACTATCACTATTCTTAAATAATTTTTCAAGTGGCTACGGAAACATACTACTCAATACACTGGTATTATAATATATGGAACCATAATCAGTATTTTCAAAGAAAAATATAACACGACTTACTCGTTTGATAATTCATTATTAATCATAATATTATTGTCATTTTTCGTTGTTTCATTACTATTTATTGCTGCACCATCAGAAGAGCTGAAATTGTGGATGCATTATATTCATACAACATGTTTGAAGCATGTACAGCTGGCTTTTCAATAATAAAGAATGGACGTTGATCACTTCCATATTTTGGAGCCATTGTAATATCTCGTTCAATAAGTACTTTAACATAATTGCTGGTGTTATAGAACATTATAATATATTTTCCTTATTTCATTTTGACCTACTTCTTCTCTATTCTCTTTCTCTTCTCTTCATTTCATCATTCTCTTCAACTCCATCATGTCAGTGCGTGATCGATGGTGACACTATCGGTTATTGCGTATATATATATATTATTTGATACATATATATATACATGGAGTTTCCTCTTTCTATTGTTCTTCTTTTCTATTTCTTCTATTATAGTTAGTTAGTGTTCTTGTTATTCTCATTCAAATATATTGGATTCATACAAACATATATAGTCGAACATTAACAATTGACGACGAGGTGTTTCTTCTGTTCTTCGTTCTCTTCTCTTCTGCTGCATACATCTATATATATATATACATTAAAAAAAAAGATTCTCTTTACTCGTCTTCTTCTTGCTTCACTTCAATTACTTGACAACGTTAAGCTACAATTTTGTCATGGGAACTACTGAAAAAAATACGTAAATACATTATCTTCTATTCCTTCATTACATGCTTTCAATCCTGATACAACTACTTGGTCTTCTTATCGTGATCGAATGACATTCTATTTTCAAGCAAATGGTATTACAATCGATGCTGATCGAAAACCGTTATTTTTGTGGTCTATTGGCGATCAGGTTTACAGTTTATTAGAATCTCTAGTAGCTCCTCGACTTTTAACTGAATCTGAACTTACATATACAAATTTAATTGGTCTTTTGGACAAACATTATGATGATACTAAAAACATAATAACACCAACAATTATCATGAAATTTTATTAACGAATTAATTTATTCATCATCAATATATTCTTTAAGATAAAGACCATCGCCAAATCGAACAATATTAATACATTCAGAACATAATCGAATGGCATACGATAATGCTTGACATAATCCAGCTAAACGAGCTAATTTGTTGCTATTCTTTCGTTGGAATGCTCGTTGTAAAAGTGTATAAATTGGTCGTCCCTTGGCATCACGCTGTAATGATTTTTGATACGCAGCTTCAGTAACACGACGAATAGCATTATAAGCAGATATTATCGATCCATCTTGTTCAATATCAGTTTCTTTAATGCCCACAACCACACGTGGTTTTAAGTTTGATATTGGTTCAGTTGTTGAAATTGGATAGTGAAAATATGAAAACTTACTTAATTTTGGTAAATTAATTGGAGATTGATGTTCACCAAATACAAAGATAGGCTTATATTGTGCTAATATACGAAGTACGATTAAAACATGTACGATGTTTGGTTGTATAGATAGAATTTCAGATGGTATATCATTTGAAGTTTTGTGGACGGAAGTTGTAATAAATAAATATCGGCTAATAGTACCATCGGACATACTATCACTGTTATATTGTCGACATACAGATGATAACATGTTTCCTGTTGATGCACCAAAAATATTGATCGAGCCACGTTTAATAAAAAATGATGAAGAACCAGTTGTACGAGAAAACTTCTTCATAATATCATAACTTTGGCATAAAAGTTTAGAACCAATGGTTTTTATATCATTGTCAATCGAACCGACTTGATAAACTCCAAATCGAGTATTTATAACATCAAGCTCATCACTTGAAATAAATCCGTTCTCCTAAAATAAAAAATTCAAAAATTTCAATATATATATATCGTCTATGAAGTTAGTACTTACTCGTTTTGTTCTGTCGTTTCCACAATAAAATGGTTGACAGACAAACATCCTGTGGTATCACAAAGATGTGATGCTAAAATGGAGGAAATACAGATTAGAGTTTATAAAAAATAGTATGAACTCACCTTGTTGATGTTTGCCTTGATTAGAAAGTAGTGGTAATTGATCTAATAGAGAACGAAGAACAATATGATGATTTGAAATTGTTACCTGTTGTGGTGATTTGTTTTCGAAATAATCCCTAGAAGCATTTTTAATCGATATCCATACTTACTCTTGAGTCGGAATGACGACTTGGTGGAGTTATCATGTGTTCTTTCTTGATGTAACATTCCATCCATGTTCTTAAGTATTCATCTAAAAAGAAAAATAGTTATCAATCAATTAATGAGATGAATAATTACTCACCATCTTGTGGTCGATTACTTTTGATTTTCCAAACTTCAGTCAGGTCGATTCATGGAAAGATGTGTTGATGGTTCCGTAAAGAAATACAAGCAACAGCCCTACATAATTCATCCCGAAAATTTTTTGCCTCCTCATTTGTTAAAGAGTTGAGGAACTCTTGAGAGTTCGGTTTGATAATAGTAACAGTTGGTTTCGTTTTATTTTTACGAGACGGTTTGAATGACGTCTGTTTTTTGGTTTTCATACTTGATGCCATGATGTATGTTTATGAAATTTGTATAGAAATAGAGAAAGAAAAATATTGTGTATATAGTGGCTGATGTGTCTAAGGTATTTATATAGATGATCTATATCTCATCATTCTATTGATTCATTGTCACATCTGGCTGACGGAACATTATGATCTGTTAATTGATCATTATTGACGATTGATTTCTTTGAATTGAATTAGATTAACAAATGAAATGTGACTTAAGACATATTACAGAACAATCATGCTCATTACTCATCAATCTATGTATATATAACAGTTGTTACATTTTTTAAATCATTCATCAAAACATTTTGCTCACTGAACACTTCAACATAATAAGTACGTTTCGATTCTTATTTCCGTTTTTGTCTTATTTTTAATTTCTTTACACATTATTTTTTAGAATATAATTTCATTCATGGAAGAAAAAATCATTTACTGGGCCAACACAGCCAAAACAAAATTTACATCTGATGGTCTTATTACGTTTAATCGAATTTTTAAAAACAATCCAACTCCAACAGATGAAGACTTATCGAATATTGCTAAAGAACTTGAGTCTGACACGAAAACTATAAGGGTAAGAAAACTTCAAACTTTAAAACAAATTTGCTAATACTGCTTGTCTTTTTCTAGGAAAAATTCCGAAGACGACACAGGCATTTAAAAACAAGAAAAACACCAACGAAAAAAAAAGTAGTTATTACAAAAGCAGAAAAAAATATTAATGATGATAAACAACGTAGCACAACATTTTTAAAAAATTTAAACAATCGGGAAGCAAAATTATTTATGAATTATATGATAAATGAAGATAAATGCATAGATTATATTAATAACCATCATGTCCCAAAATCAATTAACATCAATGATATTTGGAAAATGACAAGTGACGATCATCGTAACGGTAAGTTCTTCTTTCGCTAATGTTCTTGTAATAAAATATTTATTTTTTTTAGGCGAATATTTTTCCAAGTGGATGCGTTGCTTATTACCAAAAGAATATGAAACATCATTACCACCACATAATCCAAGATTATCCCTTAACAAAAATGGAACTATGCCTTCCAAATTACAAGACAAAATTAATTCTTTTTGTAGAAAGCAGACAATTGCTCATTTCAACATTTTAAAACATCACATTGTGTTACGCGCTACAGATCCTTCATTTACAAATTTGACGAATAGAAAAAATGCAAAAACCGGTAAGGATAAAAGACTCAATTAATAATCCTTTAATAACATTACCTTTATTTCATTGTAGGATCGCACTTATGTGACACAAATGGTTGCGTTTTATCAGAACATCTAGTTATTGAGAATTTTGACATCAATTTAAGTCGGACTCGATGTCAAGGCGTCACTCTTCTTGTCCGTCTCGGAAATGAAACATCCGTAGGACGAATTATTCAAGCAGCAGCATGTCGGCACGGTATTATTAACGATGATGGCGGCTTCAAAAATAGTTGCAGAAAATTAAAAATTTATGTTCAAGATGAAACTTCAATAAACTATTGTAAATCTTTATTAAAGAAATAAATAAATCAAAATAAAAAAAGCTTATATATTGTTTTATTTTTTTAGCAACAAGTTTCTAAATCAAACTCAATTGATGATGAAAAAAATCACAGCATAGACAATGAAATGATCAACAACCTTTGACAATGAAATGACTAACAACCTTTGACAATGAAATGGATCACAGCATAGAAAATGAAATGGAGAACAAC